ACATGCAGGTGAGTAAAGTAAACCTTACACCTTCTCCTACACCACTGTGCCTTCGTACTGTATAGCCTCACAGAGTGCTAACATGACTGGAGACTCACTTTTGTTTCCTCATAGTTTTACAACTCCAGGGCCACAAAGTATGGAGAGAAATCTCTTGTTGATTGTTACGGCTCACAACTTAGTCATTTGTTAATATTCTGTTAATATCCAATATTTTCTTTAAAAGGTAATGAAACCAGGAAAAAAGTCCATTGTATTTAACATATATTCAACATTGTTTACAACTTTATATGGAGCTTCTTGTGGTCCTTTGTTGTGTGTCCGTACTGTTATTGTTTATCTGAGCTCTGCTGCAGCTACATTCCCTCCAGTGGGACAACAGGGAACTGAACGGACATCTTGACATCAAAATCAAAGATGGGTCCTGACCCTCTGTATGCTTTTGGTAATGACTCAAATGTGTCTATTAATGAACAAATCTGCAATTTCTGTCTTTTGCTTTTTTTTGGGTATATGAAAAGAAAAGGTTTATACCATTTCTCAAAACAAGGTGTTTAACGTCAAGTTTTATTTTGCCACAGTCAACATGTTTCAACCTTCAAAATTGTTGTTTTCTGACCATCAATGAATCAATTAACCATTAAAGCTTTAAAACCATCAAGCTACTCGATGCACCAACACACACACACACACACACACACACACACACACACACACACACACACACACACACACACACACACACACACACACACACACACACACACACACACACACACACACACACACACACACACACACACACACCACACACACACACACACACACACACACACACACACACACACACACACACACACACACACACACACACACACACACACACACACACACACACACACACACACACACACACACACACACACACACGAGAGACAGAGAGGGTAGCTCTGTCTCATCTAAATATAGGACCTCAACAGCAGCACAGCCTTAAATATTTCATTGCCTCCTCTCCTCTCCAGAAATGAAGAAGGGGGAGCCAGGGGAGAAGAAGGGGGAGATTGAGAGAGAGGAGAGAGAGGAGAGAGAGGAGAGGGGGGGCTGCGAGGGGTTCTTGAGACTGAGATCAGTACAAAAGGGATGTAGTCTAAAATAGGAAAAAGGCACAAAGGAGAGAAGGAAGGATGGAGTGTGGAGGAGGGAAGCTGAAGGCATGGGAATCTAATCCCCCCCACTCTTTTATGCAAAATAAGAAGAAGTATTTCTGGATTTCTTCAGACAACTGAAGCGTCATGGTCCATAAGGAGGTTATCTTCTTATGTATGTGTCACCAAAATCTATGAATCACTTCAGAATGAGGCAACTTGTTGAGGTATTGATAAGTTACTGCCTTCAAACAGCCTGGTCTAACTCTCAAAATTCAGAATAACATACAAAAATAACAGATTAATGCCATACGGATTTAGAAACTGTCAAAAACAAATCCAGCCTCACAGAAATGTGAGGTTTCTGCACAAAGCTAAGGGTTTATTCCCAGCAGCGGTGTCACTCTGCGTTGGCCTCGCTGTCACTTTGAGGAGGATAACGTGTTGCTTTGTTGCTGCTGTAAGCTGCCCTTCTCCCTGCTCGCCTGTTGTGCATATTGTGCACTCTGCAGCATGCTGAAGGGGAGATAAAGGTTAAAGCCTCATCTGCAGGGATCTGCAGGGAGCTGCAGCGGCGCGGACGCTGCATGCTCAAGATGCACAAACACAGTTGTATGAGTGCAGAGAGCCCTGCAGGAATTCCTCCCAATGCACACAAACATTCACCAATCAGGATAACACACACATTTTTGCTCCTGTGCTCTTTGTTCTGCCGGTGTTGTAGAGTGATGGATGAGTCGGCATGCGGAACACATGGAGGGTCATTACAGGGGGCCTTTCAAAGCCAGACACCTACAGAGAAAATGGGCTCCACAATGGAACAAGATAGCATCACAGACGGGCAATGATGGAGCAGAGGCACAACTCCCCTACACACAGACCGCAGCACGCGCATACACACATCTGTCTGCATGCACACGCCCCATCTGTCTCTCTCACATAATTATACACACAAAGAGAGGTAAACATGAACACGTGACTCAATACATGTGCCAGACTATCGTGGAGAAGTCAATTGAATAATCAGTGAAAAGCTTCATCAAAACAGCAATCACAGCAGATGTAGTCATCAAAATATCTGAAAGGACTACAATGTGTTTTACTCTTTGATTTTGTTTTGGTATAATTAAACACTTATTTTGCATTTCGAATTTTGTTGTTGACATTTTCTTTTTAAAGGGATGTTTAGAAATGGGTGCTGTTCTATAGGAGCCAGAAATCTGTATTTTGGCAAAGATGGGTAGTATCTCTCAACAACTGTGAGATGGATTACAATGAAATGTTTCATGCTCCCCAGAGGATGAATTAACTTTAGTGGTCCCCTGTCTTTGCTTCTAACGTTACCATGAAGGTGACATTATGAGTTTAAACAACTGTTGGATGAATTGTCACAAACTGTTATATATATTGATGATCCCCTAAGGGTACATTCTACCACTGCGGTTCCTGACTTTTCATCCAGTACAACAATTTGATCAACATTGTATTTAAATACCAAAAACCAAATGCACCTTTCTGTTTAGTCATAATTAGCAAATATTTAGCACGCTAGATAGTACTAGGTACTAAGATGGTGAGCATGCAACATCAGCATGTTAGCATGCTAATGTGTGAAGGACAGCCTCTGTTAATATACTGTATTCTAGAAAGAACAACAATCCACATTAGAAGTCATTGCAATTGGCTATAAAAACTATAATGTCTTGTGTGGAAAAAACCCAAAACATTTGCTACGTCATTGATTTAGCCACTTCAACACACCATAACTATACACCATCTAGTAATTGAATCCCACAAGCAGTGATGGAAATAGCCTCTTTGCCCCAACTTACTGTCTTTACTTTCAAATGACTATTTCAAATGAACATTAGTCACCCCTGGTGATCAGAGCATCTATCAGTCATTAGAGGAACTTCAGCTTAAGCATTGATTTTGATATTCAACTATGGTGATTCCTGCTTGGTGCAAACACATTTTGCACCAACTAATACACTAGACAGACCTAAATAAAATCTTGTATTGCTCACAGAACAAACCAAGAGGGCAATGAGGAGAAATCCCAACAACATGGAGCTATTTCTAGCAGTAGAGATTGATTGAATGACCAATACATTCCAATGATTAAAACAAAGTGCTCTGGGCTAAACTAGGGACAAAAGGTTGGACTTGCAGATGTTCTCTATGCAGTAAATGGAGAAAAACATCTAGACTTGTCTGACCTCCACACAGGACATGTCTGCCAACAAACATGACCCTGAAGGACCGATGCAGTTCTCTACAATACATCAGCCAGCCCCATAGCTTTTAAATGATTGAGTTTTGAGTATGTAAGTCGCTTTGGATAAAAGCGTCTAAGAAGTGACATGTAATGTAATGTAAATGCCTCCTGATGTGAGGGTTTTCTAACATTTCAGCAGTATTTTCATTTCCTTTTTCCTCCATTTCTGTGTGTGTACATCAATGTAAACTAAGGTGACAGTGTCAACCTCTCCTGGGATTAAACTACAGGTTGAAAGTGGGAATGAATTCAATGTATTTTATTCAGAATTGTTTTGCTGGAGCTTGAAATAAGAAGCAGCTCAAGGAGTAAAGAGTTCCCTGCTGATGTGATACTTAACCATGTGTAAGGAGCTTGTAATGACAGGGATGGAGTGCTTGTTAACATTGGCTGAAGATTGTAATGCTACACAATTAATAACACGTGACAGCTACTCATTTTATAACATAAACAAAAGCTTAAACGTTTACTTGACGAGTGGTTCATTTTGTAAAATGTACAAAAAAGAGTGAAGTGAGGACAACAAGTCTGGTGTTAAAGGAAGATGGTGCGTGCTTGATTTTGTTCTGATGTAAGTGGTGAGGACAAGTAGATTTGCTGCAGTAAGAAAGACCTCATGTGAACTGAGCTCAAATTCAATAAACAAAGGAGGAGATACTGAGATGGTGCCTCGTGTTCACGATGCAATACTTTTTTCACACACCTAATGTTCATCTGAATGATTTTTAAAGATTGTTATTTGTGTCCATTCTTTGATTTCCAAAAGGTTTTTAACAGTGGATTTACTTTGTGCATCATGTTTTGTAGTTCTGAGAGCAATATGAAAAGGGACAGTCCTGAAGTGAACCTCAGTGAATCAGACCGTAAGAGAAGGTGCCAGTACGATGAAGGATTGAATCTATATTTATGATTTTCTCTGCTGAAGAGGTGGAGAACATAATGACCAGTAGTCTTCACAATGACCTGTCCTTAAAAGACTCTCAAGACTAATCCTGCTGCAAAAGGCGGGATAATGGAGATGCGTGATGTTAGAATTATAGAAAAGAGAAGGTTCGCGGACATACCACTTCACGTCAACCATCTCTAAATAATTCTGGAGAGCTAAATAACATATTGTTTATTATAGCAATGTAGTTGAAAGTGCCCTAATAGCGATGTAGAAAAAAAAGAAAAGAAAATCATTCAGTCAATTAGCGACATAATGTAATATGTGTAATATGCTGCTGCAACGCAAACATTTCCCAAATTGGGATCAATAATTATTATCTTATCTTATCTTAATCCCTAGCGCTGTTACCTTCAGAAATAAGTCATTGTTATTTTAGACTACCTTTGATCTGCAATACTGCTGGAGGCTGAACTAAATACAGCGCATTGGTTTAAGTTGAGAAATAAAATGATTACTAAGTCAAAGTGGTTATCTGAGCAAAAACTAGAAAAACAAAAGGTTGTGTTAACCTCAACTTTAACCAGCTATTTAAGACCTTGAGCATCATTTCAGCAGTTACAAATATCTAGATAAACTACCGATGTAGCTCCTTTAACCGCTTGTTGCCCTTTGCTGTCCCGGCACTTACCTCTTGAAGTGGCTAAGTAGGGTGCCAACCAGCTCCCCGATGCGGCTCTCATTGGAGGGCACCATGCCCTGCAGGCACACCACCAGGTCCCTGCTGTCCTTAGTGTGGAACACCACCAGCTGGTCCTTCCCAGGGGACACGCTCACCCCGGTCACCTGGGACAAAGAGAGGCAGAGGACATACAATTAAACACAGATAAACATGTACATACTGTACAGAGGAACACAAACATGTGAAAAGGCAGCGATGTGTGTCGAGAAACAGATCACATAACCATCTGTACTATAAACACAAATGAAGAGCATATACAGACGCAGATGCACATCATGGAATTAAAGTTGGCGCACCCCAGAGGACGTGAATTCACTGGGGAGGAAGAACAAGGCTATAATTCATCACATTTAACCTCTACTGGGACTAAAGGGAGAACCTGAACTTCAGTATTCAGCACATCTCGTTTTAGTTTGAGAAGAAAAACCTTCATGATGAAAAGGTACTGATAGTCATTTTCTTTTCAAAAGAAATGCGGTGCAGTGTGGTTATGTTAAACTTGATGGACATTGTTTATGAATTCTTACATTTTCCATAAAGGCTTTTAAGCTAAAGTTAATTAATGTAAACTGCGGTTTACCGTTTTATTACCATAAGCCAGGGGTCGGCAACCTTTTCGATATGAAGTGCCATTACAAAAAAAAATTGTTATCAGCGTGTGACGATCGTGAATTATCAACAGGAGGGCGGGGGGAGCCTCGCTGCGGGGAAGCAGTGTGTGGACCTGTCAGCGCAACTTACATGACGCCGAATTTAACAAACACATTTAAATAATTGGTTTAAACGGCATAATAATAAGGACGATCGTCCGTTCTGTGATTCTCCAGAACACACATGTTATGATATTAAGGTCATGCAGAGTGAGATGAGATCGCTGTCCCTTTAAGAGAGAGAGGGGGGGGGGGGGGGGGGGGGAAGCTGTCCATTGAACGACAGGTTGAGATTTGTACCATTACCGGGGCCAGTTTTGCAATGCTCTCCCCAGATATTTCAATGAGAGATGAGCAGATCACCACTGGGCTTTCAACTAAAGACACAGCCACGCAAAAACTGCGGCATTTGTACAGCTCCTTATGGGTACTGCAATTTGTGAAGTGCTTTCCTCTGTGGTGAAACGATCAGCACTGCACCACGGAGGAAAGCGGCAGAAAGTCGCCTGGAGTTAAAGAGAGCGGGGCTGCATTGCGTGCATGGCTTCCTTCTGCAGGTAACGGGGAGACGCGCTCTGGCGGCGGTCTCCTTCAGGATCCCAAAATAAAATCTAAATATTTTTGCACACTTATTCCTAGAGTGCCACTGGTTACGGTGCCGCATGCCAGTGGTGGCACGCGGCACCGTAACCAGTGGCACAGGCCAGGGGTTGCCGACCCCTGCCATAAGCAATACAATAGACTTAATTTTCCATATTAAATATAGCCAAATATTTTTGTTTGTTTTATAATGGATACAGATACATTTCAACTTAAAATAGGCAAGTACAAGTTAGTAAGACTTTACAGTTTGATATCAACAGTAAAGATTGAATTGTACATATTTATGTGTGCATTATGTATAAGTTCATGTTGTTTTAGTACATCCTTTAAAAAAAGGACCATTGCGTACCTCGTTTTAAAGTAATTTAGATATATTTAGATATAAGATTGGTTGACAGCACTGGGTCATTCACTATAAGGGGCGTTAAAATCACAAACAAAACAACATAGATCTCATACAGTATAAAAGCCTTTTAAAACCCACCCACAATATTCAAATCTAACAACAACTTTTAACTTAACTTAACGTATCATGGATTACCTACTTAAGGATGCATTTGTTTCTAATTTGCATGCTTCATTAAGTCTCAGTATACCGTTTTGTGTTAAGAGCTTGTGAAGCTCTTGCAAAAACTGTACCGAAGCAAAGACTGCTGAGGTGTTCTCAGTATCTGGTGTCTGTCGGTGTCTCCCACTCAAGGCTTAAATCAGCACTTGCAGTAAAGATGTATTGATCAGAATCCCAAAGGTCCAATCGAATTTTCCCACTCAGACCCCCAAATGTCGTACGAATGGAAAGCAGCCGGGCTCATGAGCTCAGTTTTGCGGTTGGATTGTTTACCTTTACAGGTCTTCAAACACAACAGGAAGAAACCAATATCCTCACAGGTAAACGCATCTCACGAGAAAGTGGAGCTCATTAAACCCCCATTCCTTTCCCTGTTATACTATTATCTCGCTTCCTTTTCCCCTAGATTTCCTCCATGTCTTTTATCATCCCCTGCCTTAGATTTCCAGCCATTTATTTCTCTCTTAATTTGTCTTTCTAAGCCAAGGCATGTTGAGGAAACAGCCGCAGGGCAGCCAGTCAGGTGCATTAATATCCACTCAGCAGACTGCAAAGCTGAGACAAATTCCTCCATCAGGGGAGGACAGGATGCTTCCTGCGGCTAAACAACAAGCTAGCTGATTTAGCTCCGACGTGAAGCATGTGACTTCGGAAACAAACACTTCACGCAATCATCATGAATTAAAGCCAAAAGCCATGCCTCTCTGTCTAGCAATCCACCCGCAGTTAATTACATGGAGCCGATCACATTTACATTTATATTAAAGGCTTAATTTATTGGAACCACAGTCAGCGTTAATTAGTTGGGTAATGATACATTCAGATGCGTTTCCTTGTCTAATTTTTGGTCTTGTTTCACCAAATCAGTTTTACTCTGAGTATGAGACGTGTTGGAGGCATTTATCTGCCAGGCCATCTGCTCAAGCGTCTATCCGACCCACAATATGAGAAAACTTCAGGAAGACACTTTTCATTACTGCAGCCCAAATTACCCCTCATTACTGAAGGGGTCATTTGTGTTGATAACTAAAGGCTCCTACACTGAGGTAATAGGGATCTTGCAGCCCTATTGCATGCAACTCTGAGCAACATGGGTAATAGGACATCTTGGTGCCAATATGTGTTTTTCGATACTATATCAAATTTGAGGCCTTTTTTCGGTGGAACATTTTATTGTAAAATGCTAAAGACCTGGAAGACATTATCCAACATCTGAAATCCTCCTCCTGTAGCCTCCACATCATCCCGACAGGATTTTTTAAAACAGTTTTTCCTTGCTTGGCCTCAGATATACTACACATAGTAAACAAGTCTCTTCAATCAGGTGTATTTCCACAGGCCCTGAAAACTGCAATAATTAAACCGCTCCTAAAAAAGCATAACCTAGACAAAACCATAATGAATAATTACAGGCCAATATCAAACCTTCCCTTTTTAAGCAAATTGATTGAAAAAGCAGTTTTTCAACAGTTGAGTAATTTCGACGGTTTTGATGTGTTTCAGTCGGGTTTTAGACCTAACCACAGCACTGAGACTTCACTTGTTAAGGTCTTAAATGACATCCATTTGAACACAGACAGTGGCAGAATATCAGTGTTAGTATTATTAGATCTCAGCGCTGCCTTTGATGCTGTTGACCACAACATATTGTTAGACCGTCTTGAAAACTGGGTGGGAGTTTCAGCAACATCTCTAAACTGGTTTAGCTCCTACTTGAAGGACAGAACAAACGTTGTCTCAATAGGCAATTACAAATAGACCCTGATAAATATGTCATGCAGGCTCCTCAAGGCTCCATCTTAGGACCTTTGCTTTTTAATATTTGTATGCTACCTCTGGCTAAAATTATTAAAAAGAGCGATCTAAGCTATCACATCTATGCAGACGACACCCAGATTTATTTTAAAATTACACCGGGAGACTATTCTCCGATTAGAACACTGAGCAAGTGCATTGAGCACATCACTGACTGGATGACTCAGAACTTTCTCCAATTAAACAAACACAAAACTGAGATCATTGTTTTTGGAGCAAAGAAGGACCGATTAAAAGTAATCACAGAGCTTCAGTCGGCAGACTACAAAGTAACTCACAAAGCAAGACATCTGGGTGTAGTGATGGACTCAGACCTGAATTTTAACAGTCACATTACAAGTTATTAGGTCTGCATACTACCAGCTGAAGAATATATCAAGGATTAAAAAACTAATGTCACAACAGGATTTAGAAAAACTTGTCCATGCTTTTATTTTCAGTAGACTCGACTACTGCAATGGTGTCTTCACAGGGCTCACTAAAAAATCTATCAGAAAGCTGCAGCTGATTCAGAACGCTGCTGCTCGAGTCCTCACTGACACTAGAAAAGTGGATCACATCACTCCGGTTCTGAGATCATTACACTGGCTTCCAGTCTGCCAAATCATTGATTTTAAAATACTACTGCTAGTTTTTAAATCACTAAATGGCTTAGGACCGAGGTATATAGACGACCTACTCCATCACTATGAAGCATCCAGGAGTCTCAGGTCTTCTGGGTCGGGTCTGCTCTCTGTTCCGAGAATAACCACTAAACATGGAAAAGCAGCTTTTAGTTATTATGCCCCAACAATTTGGAACAAACTGCCTAAATCGTGCACGTCCGCCGAAACACTTCCTATTTTTAAATCCCGACTAAAAACGCACCTATTTGCCGCTGCTTTTAATTGAGCTGCCCATACTCACACTACAGTATATGTTAGAGCCAGTATTTTGATTTGATAAGAAAGGCCACCTAATTGTGACGTCTGTAGTCAACGCACTATAAAGGACTACAATTCCCACGGCGCCGGTGCTAACGCCACAGTGATGGGCAACCTGTTGAGAGACGCCGTCGAGGAACAATTTTTAACCGTACTCAATCGTACTCGTAACCGTACATACAAACCGTACAAGTTATCAAGAAAGAAAGAATACCTACGTTGTGTTGTTTTATTTGAGTTTTGCCTATTTCTTTTGAATATTGTAAAGGCCTATTTTTCTTTGTTGCATGTGCAAAGGTTTGTTATTTTATTTTGAGCAAATACATCGCAACATCTTCTAAACCATCGGAGGCCAAGCAACACTTCAAACTGTGAGTACTTTAAGGAAAGAAACGAGTTAGAACTGTCTGTTTAAGACGTCTAGTGGCTTGGTGGAAAAACAAGGAAGGAAGCCACGACATTGTTAAAAACTCTCGGGACGGACAAATCCGTGTGGAATTAAATGGTTGCCACCATATTATTATAATGAATGAAATACTCTTGGA